AATGCAGTAGCATAACGTAAATACTAAAATGTTTTGCGCTCTCATTTTAGATCACTCCCAACCACCAGGCATTAAGCAAGGTCCAACAGGTAGGACACAGAATTTTCACTTTTACTTAATATATATGTAATGTCTCCCATTCCTCACCATTGTCCTGTCTCCATGCAGAACGTCAGCTACAGGCCCAGTTTAATGTTCTGTGCTCACGCTTGGGCTGTTCTGTTCTGCCGGTCTCCTACAATCTCTTCTCCAGTGGCATTCTGACTCAGTTGGAACTGGAGAAAATCCAAGCAATACCCATCCCAACCCAGCAAGCACAAATTCTGCTGTCCATCTGCCTGAAGAAAGGAGAAAAAGTGTGCATGAGCTTTTACACAGCGCTACAGAATGAGGATGAGCAACTAGCTGAGGAACTTAATGGTCAGTACAACTTTTCTAGCAGAATCTAGAGTGGAGATGCATGCAATATTATAATCTAAATGCATGTAATATTGTAATGTGCACTACTGGTCAAATGCTTGGAATAATTAAGCTTTTTAAATGGTTATGAAAGAAGTCTCTTTTGCTCATCAAGACTGCATTTATTTTGATAGAAAATATAATAGTATTATAAAAACAATAATATTATGATATATTATTACAATTTCAAGTAACTGTTTTCCATTTCAATATATTTTAAAATGTAATTTATTCCTGTGATGATCAGCATCATTACTCCAGTCTTCAATGTCACATGATCCTTCAGAAATCATTTAAATATAATTTGAAAGTTCAATGAACAGTAATTATTAGAAATAGAAAATGTGTAACATTAAAAATGTCTTTACTGTCACTTTGATTAATTTAATGCCTCTTTGCTGAATAAAAGTATAAATTTTTCTTCTTCTTTTTTTTACCTCAAACTTTTTTATGGTAGTGTATCCAGTTTCCGCAAAAAATATTACCTCAGAAAAGTAATAAACGTCAGTTAGAATTCTTAATATTGTTTCAGCCAGGAATTCAGCCACCTGTTATCAAATTTTCTTTACACTCTTCTCATTTTTCAGTAAACAGTTTGGTGGAAGACCTTGATAAAGAACCAGAAGGCAGCACTGTGCCGATAGCAGTGGAGGAAACTAGAGATCACTTGAGAGCAGCTTTACCTCTGTCAGGTAGTTCACATTTCAACATTATACTCATTTTGTTGAAAACTATGCGAGAGACTGAAGAAATATTTATGGCTGGTAAATTTGCTCAAAGCTAAAAAATTAATTTTGGTTTCCAGAATTCATCTAAGATCTAATCTTTCTGAACTGATGTTGTCCATGTCTGATTCTCCATCAGGAGGCCTGCAGCAGGTCATGACTCAGCTGGGCTTGACTGTGGGGGATGAGATTAGGTTTAATGTCTGTGAGGTTGGTGTGGCGGTGGGTTTGCCGCGTCGGACAGTCATAGAGTACCTTCTGGAAGGGGTCGGCATTGAAGACTCAGCCCAGCTGGAAGCCCTAGTGTCCTTGTATATAGAGAAGACACAGGACGCCGACAGACTACTGAGCAGAGTGGCAGAACTCAGCCCTCGGTGTAAGTGAAGGCCAATCCATCTCAGGCTTAACCTCAGATTCTGTTTAATTAAAGCAAATATTAAAGTAAATAACTATTAATTTTTTTTAGTTAGAAGTCTTTCTCTGGATTAAATAAAGATTATTGTATCCTTAGAAAGGCCTAGTGATAATTGCTCAGTGACATGACACTATTTTTTTTGTCCAAATCAATTAATTAATTTAAAATGTGACTTTAGATATAATGATTTGAATATGCCCCTTTTATGATATATTTCCAAATAAATTCTGAAAAAAAAAAAATATTGTGATGTTACCAACATGCAGAAATATACATTAAAAATTATAAAAATATACTTTAAATAATATACTTTTTACCTTAAAGAAAATACACTACCATTCAAAAGTATGGGGCCAGTATGATTTTTTTAAATTAAATTAATACTTTTAAGCAAAGACGCATTAAATTAAAACATTAACACATTTATAATGTCAACAGATTTCTGTTTTAAATAAATGCTGTTCTTTTGAATTTTCTTTTTATCAAACAACCTGAAAAGTATATCACGGATTCCAAAAAATATTAAGCAGCACAATTGTTTTCAACAATAATAATAAGAAATATTTCTTGAGCACCAAATCAGCATATTATAATGATTTCTGAAGGATCATGTGACACTGAAGACTAGAGTAATAAATGCTAAAAATTCAGCTTTGCCATCACAGGAATAAATTATATTTTTAAATGTATTAAAACATAAAACAGTTATTTTAAATTTCAATTTATTTTAAATTAAATATTTGACAGTATTACAGTTTTTACTGTATTTTAGATCAAATAAATGCAGCCTTGGTGAGTCTAAGCATCTTTCAAGAACATAAAAAAATTGTACCAACCCAAACTTTTGAACAGTAGAAAAACATACAGTGGTTAAGATTTTACTTTCACATCTGTTCACTAAGTTGTGAAGAAAACAATATTATTTTTTACTTTATGAATACTAAACAAAATAGTACAGTATTTGAAAACCATATGAAACCAACATGAATGTATCTGGTTGTCATCTGTAGGGGTCCAGCTCTCAGAGAGGGGATGTCTGCTGTTGAGGTTGCTGCAAAAAGCCGAGACTCTTCTCCGCAGCGGTATCCACAGTCACCGGCACAGCTGGGACCACCTGCACGATCAGGACCACTTACGCAGCTGGGACCACTTGTGTCCTGATGACTGCACAGATCAGCGCACTGTGTGGGCCATCTTCAGCTTTCTGGTGTGGGACTGCATGGCAGAGGTTCTGGAGGAGCCGGAGGCGAAGCCTAGCGGAGGCATACTAGGTATGATCGAGCAGCTGAATGCCAGCGGCAGAGTGGAGGCCGCACTGCTGCAGGAAGTGGAGCAGTGCTGGAGCGACGGGGACGCTGAGAGTCTGCTGCAGAGCGTGAGAGTCCTTGCTCAGGTGCTACGAGACCTGCATCCCCTCCAGGAAGGCCTCCAGCTGTCCTCTTCAGTTGAGGGCTTGTTTTCCTGCAGGCCCAGCAGGCTACACCGGGTCACTTCCTTCCAGGGTGTCTCTGCGCGGGTCATCCGTAAAGCTCTGAGCAGCATGGTTCCATCCTCTGCGGACCAGGACGCAACTCTTCTTGCTAGACAGTACTTGGAGGTGTGCGTTCGTATCGCACGTCTCCTAGATGTAGTGCAGCCCAAACGAACCACCATTGACTTTTCAAATGCGCCCATTGCTACGGTCATTCAGCATGTGCGGTTTGTCTTGTCAAATCCTTCTTTTAACTCTGATGTTTTTGACGCGGGAGTTCACCATCGCTTGCTTTCAGTGTTGGAGTTCAATCCTGCGCAGCTGGGCTTGGGCTCTCTCATGCAGCTCCACCAGGAGACCCTCTCCGAATTACAGAGCTACTTACAACTCGGCGAGCACCACAACTTCCAGTTTATTCTCGAATCGGTACGAATTTTCGGCCCCGCAAAGCTGTTTTCCGTCAGCAGGGTTCACGGGCCTGTCGCCATCGACAATGGGGTGGAGGAGGTCCTTTGTTTTATCACGTCAGAACCCACTTCATTCCTGGTACGACTGCACTGCCTTTGCTACGAAGAAGGAAGGGGGCGCTTCAAGGTGTGCGCACCACGTTGCGCATGTATGTATCTGCTCAAAGCAGAAGGGCTGCGTGACATGCAGTGGTGTGGTTGCAACGTTCTGGCTGAGGTAGGTGGGAAAGTGTGGGTCAGAGAGGGAGAAAGTAACGGCTGGGATGAGCTACAGGCGCTGGCTCAGAGACACTCTGCTCAGCTTAAGGATGAAGGATGCTGCTTTAAGGTCAAGACCTCTGGGTTGGAGTGTGAGGTCAAATTTATATACAGGAGTGGAAGGCTATGGGCTGTGCCACATAGGGACTGTGAGGTAGTTTAAAAATACGGGTAGCTGACATGACGTTGCAGTGACAAACAGTGTCACATGTTGTACTTCATTTAAAAGTATTTGAAAGGTTTTTTCAGATTTTGTTCATTTATAGATTAATGTTATTAATAGAAATTGATTTGTAGCTATTTAAGTGCAATAACATAAAAAAATGAATTAAAACTGTGAAAAACACTTTTTATCTTTAAAATTGGGAGCCCTGCACATGACATGCAGGAAAAAAATATATATACATCATGGCCACAAATTTAAAAAATCTCATGTTAATCTTGAGTACCTATAAAGTAGTATTGCATCCTTCATATCTCTGAAGAGTAGTTTTATCAGACTTATAAAACACAGATACGGCTTTACGATTCTCTCCGAAAACAGTCGAGCTCCTGGAGGTGTGCTGTGGGCGGAGCTAAAGAGTCATGAGCATGCGAAGCTTTTGCATAGAAATCATCTGCAAGCTGTGACACCGACATAAATAAAAAATGAAAAACTTTGATTTAAATTTTGATTTGTTTATAAAACAAACAAACACCCAGTGCCCATAAAAGGAATTCCGCCCTTTATGACATAATACAGGGCCCTGTAGGAGTGTATTTGGCACAATAATACTCTGTCATACATCCAACTCGTTTTTTGAAACTTTGGCCATGTTTAGCATGAGAATGCAACTCTTAAACAGTGTAAATATGTCAGAATGTATGAAATAGCATTAGCCCTCCCCTTTAAAGCATACTGAGGTATTACTAACTACTGCGAATAATATCAACTCTTGTTAGGTGGTTTACATGGTGCTGTGCAACTGAAAATCAATAATCAGTTAAGAATAATTTACAGAACACTTTAACAAATTTGTTTTTCCATGCCAGTGTTACGAAATTAACATTGCTTGAACATTAATTGAATTATGAAATGTTAATTCCTACTGTTTTGTTACATTTATTGGCTGCTTTGCTGCTTCACAAACGATGTCTATAAAAATGTGATATAAAAAAACATCACAATAAAGCATTTAATTATCTAAAATTTATTGTGAAATTGTCCATTTCTTAAAAAACAGATAGAACCAATACATTAAATACAGTTGAACAGGCAATCAGTACACCTGCATGCACACTGATATTTAAAATACTTCATATGAGGATTCAAGTAAATGTCATACTAGGTCAAACTGTCTGAAGTTATCTGTTGTTTATCGATGTGATCTGGCCAAGCCAACAACTCACTTAATTCTCATGGTTTGTTACCTTGTGTTGAGTTCCTATGCATAGACGGGCCCACTGGGCGTCACATTCTCAACATGAGCATTACACGGGTATGCTGCAGTCAGGATGTTTGATCAGACCAAACTAGGGACGTCAAATGTATTGGAATGCTATTGTGCATGGAAATATGATGTTATGCATAGATCATATTCCTCTGTTGAGCTCAATTCATTTGACATGAGCTGACAATGCAAACCAGCCCTCTCTTTTCAGCTTGTCCACCTGTCAGAAATAAAATAAAAGTTTCCAAGCAGGAGTATGTAATACAAATATCTTAGGTTTTAGATACTATAAGTATCTATGTGAAGTTTTAGAAACTATATACAGATGAATAAAAATTATTTGCAATAAAAATCATACCTGATTCTCAAGGCTCTGGATTTCCACACTACCCAAACTTTGTGGTGAGAGTCTTCCAGTTGACCTGAGAAAAAAAATGCATGAAAAATGCCACTTAGATAGGTCTAAAAAGCAATACACCCATTTGGAAAATGCCTTGTAATCATCACAATTGGACTGAACAGTCTAGTCCTATGTGTTTCTGATCATGTAAGCAAATCTGTTCTCTTTTTATAACTCACCTTCGACTACTTGCACTGGGTTGTGGTGAATGGTTTCTCTCAGGAAGTGTCAAAAATTGCTCTGGAGTTAACCCTCTAACTACTGTAAAACATGAATAGTCGTCATATATCAGTTACTCTCATTCTGCACTGCAGGATCTGAGAGGATGCAAGTATCATTTAAAGAAACACACACCTGTGTGAGTGCTGCTGGAGTGAGGAGGTACTGGGGAAATGGCAGGGGAAACTCTGAGGGAGGCACTCGGTTTCTGTTGTTCAATGAGCTCTAGTAGTTTAGCTCTTGCTTCGGCACTTTGGCGGTTCAGCTCCTGCAGTTTTTGTTCAATCTCCATTGTTGAGGATCTCTCTACAGAAATAGGCTGGACAAAAAAAAAGATCTAAATGTAATAAAAAAGCTCTACCTCCTTTAGAAGAGCAAAGTCCACTAAAGGATGTAGAGCTTTTTCGCATTTGGCTCCTAAACTCTGGAATAGCCTTCCTGATAATGTTCGGTGTTCAGACACACTCGCTCTGTTTAAATCTAGATCAAAGACACATCTCTTTAGCCAAGCATCTCATCTCAACCTCTCATAACCTTGTATTCCAGTTATATCTGATCAAATGCACATTATTCTTAGCTTGGTTTGAACAGCAGCTACGCTAATTTTTGTCTATTTACTTCTCTGTTTCTGCCACGGGATGGGAATCCCGAGGTAACTAGATAACACAAGCTTCAGGCTGGATCCAGCCCTTATGAAGATCTGAGATGACCAAACACCTGAGAAGAGAAGATGCAAACCCCTCCGAGGACCTCAGATGACGACAACCCTGAACCAACATACAAAACTACCAAATTTTCCTATAAGTTTGATCACAACATACTGTATAATCATTGCTGTTAATAGTGTTAATAGTTTTTTTGAATACATGTCATTAACTAACTGCATGATTTTTTTTCTGTACATATCTGCCATATGGACATCACCTTGACATAGTCACCACTGATAATCTACTCCTAAATGTAATGTAGAAACTTTCATTTTCTGTGAAGCTGCTTTGCAATGATTTGTATCATGAAAAGCGCTATACAAATAAATGTGAATTGAATTAACAACCATATCCAAACTCACTGTGTACTATGCAAGCCTGTTTCTACCTCAGCATAAAAAAATATGCAAGGAAAAAAAAAAGTCACAATAGAGAAATATAAAGTTGCAACTGTGAGATAATGGAGACATAGTTAAGAGCAATAAAGTCACTATTACAATTAAAAATTGTGAGATAAAAAGGTACAATTATGAGAAACTTAAGTTAAAAGTCTCACAAATCATATGAGATATACACTAGGATTGTGGTCAGTATGATTTAAAAAAAGGAAATTAATTATTCTAATCAGTGACAGTAAAGACTTTGCATTGTTAAATATTGTTTATATTTCTTATAAATACTGCCACAAATATATTAAGCAGAAGATAATAAGAAATGCTTCTTGACCAAATCAGCATAGTAGAATGATTTCTGAAGGATCATGTGACACTGAAGACTGGAGTAATGACTGCTGAAAATTCAGCTTTGCTCTCACAGGAATAAATTACATTTAAAAATATATTCAAATAGAAAACAGCTGTTTTAAATGTTCACATTATCACTGTCTTGACTGTATTTTTGATCAAATAAATGCAGCCTTGGTAAGCATTAGAGATGTCCCTAAACTTTTGAACATTATTGTAAAGTCATATTTGTGAGATATAAAGGCACAACTATAAGAAATAAAAAGTTGTGGGAAAAATAAATTGATAAACAGTTGTGAGGAACTGCAGACTACTTTACTCCAAATCCACAGTATGTAACTAACCTGCTGTGTGTGCTGTGGCTCTGTAGAGGGCGACACTTGTCTAACTATAGAACTGGTTGTGGAAAGTCGGTCTGCGCTTTGCTCCCTTGATACTGAAGCTCCAGCTGGAGATGGACGGTGCTGCCCCAACTGGGTCCGGATCGCTGCGTTCTGATGTGTCAGTTCAGCCATCTCCCCTAGCATGGCATCCTGGGAGAGATCGTCCAGCAAAGGAGTGGGTCGTGGTAGGCTAGCGAAGGAGGAAGGAGAGATGGAGATGTCAAAGTCCTCCAGTGAACCCTGACTTCCTGTTGCTGCATAAGAGCCACTGTAGTGCAGCGGGGGTGCGTGTGAATGTGGATGACACGCTGGGAGAAGTAACAAAAATTCTGTTGAGTCATACTTGCTACCTAAGACACAAATACATATTTTTAACCTTAGAAAACTCAGTTTCTGCTTAATCATTAAATTTTGATTGTTGATTCATCAATGCTGGGCAGAGTGACAGAAAGTCAAATCAAACTATATATTTTTTTTTTTATATTTTCTGAAAAAATGTGAGGGATTTTGCTCATGCAAAATTAGCCAACACAATGCTATGGTGATTGAGTGGTTTCCAGGGTGTCGCTACGCAGTTGCTAAGGTATTCTGAGTGGTTGCTAGCTGGCCCAAGTCAATTTACATTTTCTGAATAAAATGTGACCTAACAACTTTCCTATTATTTTTTAATACATTGCTAAGGTGTTCTGAGTATTTTACAAGGGTGTTGCTAGGGGAGTTCTGGACAATTTCTAGGGTCAGGATGTTCAAATCAGATTTGTATGGGTCCAATTTTAATGTCTCTGTGGATTTTTATCCATTTTAGCATCCTCCAAAATGTAGCATTTCAATCGTGAATATGAACAACAACAACAGTGATGCTTGTCAGTGTTAAGCCCTCAATACTACAGGGTGTCAATTGACAGAATGAGAGATCTTGCCACACTTCAGACTGACCTGTGGGAGGCAGACCATCTCTTTGACGAGGAGGAGAGATCCTTTTCAGTACCGCCAGACTCCATATTTTTGCTTTCTACAGAACACAACACACTCTTCTTAATCACTGTGCCACTACAGGTTCAAATACATACTCAAGATAACCAATCCTGATATGAACTGGTAAGATACAACTTCAAAACAGTGGCAATGCAAGTTTACAGGTCCATGATCTGTGGATCTATAGTTACTTTGAGCTGTGTTGTCTGTGATTTGCACTGTTGTGTGTGATTCTGCAGAATCTGGTCTTCCCACCACCAGGACTACAGCATCTAGGCGTCGCTCTAGGTCAGTTATCTGCTGCTGCAGCCTCGCCTGCATGGAAGCAACAACAAACATTTGAATGGACAAACTTGCAAATAATATCTGGATAACATTGCTGAATGATAAATAGTTCACCTGCAGGGCGGTGCTCTCTTCCCTCAGTGTCAGTGACTCCACAGTCAGGGCGTCAATCAAAGCTCTCTGCTCCTTCACTTCCTCCTCTAGTCGTCTTCTCTCCTGTGCCTCCCTCAAAGCCTCCTCTTCTTTCTGTGTGCAAGTGATGCCAATGAGGAAGTAACTCATCTGACCAATAAAAAAAAAAAAAAAAAAGCTTTTGGATTTTACTTGTGTGTGCCCTTACTTTTCTAATATGACTGGCTAGACGTCCAAGTGTCGCCACTAGAGCCACAGAAAAGCCGGTGAGGCCTGGTCTCTGTTGCTGCAGTCTAGCTTCTGGTAGAGGATTCTGGTGGTCTAGAGAGTCTAGCTCAGTCTCCACTTGCTCAAGCATGCTCTGCAGAAGCTCCAGACTGGACTGGTTTCCTGCCAGAGAGCTTAACCCTGAGTTGTTCAGACCAGAAGTATGTCCAGAATGCCCCCTACTGGCTTGAACTGACCTGCTCTTAATACCTGAAAAAAAAATAATAATAAAATAAAATAAGCAGGTATTACCATTTTAGTCTGTATAATTTATGCCTACATACACACCTAAATACACACACACAATTAAAATAATTAATAAAAAAAAAAACAATTTAAATAAATATTTACATTTACTGCATTAATATTATCGTTAATGTTATTAGTATTATTAATATTTATATATTTTTAAAATGTTTTTTAAGTAAGTCTGTCAAGCTCATCAAGGCTGCATTTATTTGATCAAAAAACAGTTAAAACAACAATGTTCTGAAATATTATTACAAAAATAAACAAAAATGTTATAAAATTAAAAAAAGGATCATTAAATCAGTTTATAATAAACTAAAAAATAGTGCCTGATAACAGTGCCTCACCTGGTTGAGAGGAAGCAGGCTCTGGGTTCAGAACCTGGTTGACTAGTGAGTTAGACTGGTTTACATCAGAATGAGTCTGTCTGGATTTTAAATGCTGTACAGCCACCGTGGCGTTGAGGGCTGGCCAAAAGAAGCATAGATATTTAAAAAAACAAACAAAAAAAAAAGTTCAACAGATTCATCTTGACATCACATCTAACCTGCAATGAGATAAAGAAGCTCATGCCTTCATTACCTGCCTGGTCTTCTCTGACTCCAGTATTACATGGTGTCTTGGGTAGCTCTTGCTCCGGATAGTCTGAGGCCCATGGAAAAGACTCTGACCTACATTTATTTCTTTTTCTGAAAACAAGCATTTAAAAATGACATGCTAAAGACAATCAAAATGCATTAGAAGTTGTTTGTTGAAGATAAATGACCAGTCGTTCACACCTGTGCATCACAGAGCTGAGGCACACAGAGGCATCCTGGACTTCATCATGTTCCTCTTCACACTCTTCCAACTCATTCAGGGCCTAGAAAATACTTTATTATTCTAGGTTTTATTACAGAATAAAAGCTGTAGGTGGTGCTTATGTGTGAGTACCTGTTGATCCATCATAGACTGGCTGAGCAATGACAGCTGGGTTGGAGGATCAGATTTTTGATGAACAGGAAGCTCAGAGTCAGAATCACAGGCAGGTGCCACAGTAATGGTGGGGAATCCTAAAACACACAAATATGTGAGTTTTCACAAGCACATTTACATAACACTTGTTAAATCAGATAATAGCACATCAGTTTATACTGCACAAGAATCAACTACCTGTGCGTCGACAGGGTGCATCACCAAACAGGTCTTTTACTTTAGCCAAAGCTCTGTCTGACCGTGCAATGACATCCTGCAACTGACACTGATCTGAAAACACCTAAATAAATAGATTTTCACAACCTTTTTTGTTATCTGATTTGTAAAACGGTGGGAACAAAAAGTTAGTATGAGCTTGTTTTTTTTTTTATATTGAACAGTTTTAAAATATCTAAACTTTTTGTTGAGTATCATATTTGATACACCAGGCTTTTATGGCTCATATAGTATGATAAAGTGAGAACATGGAGCTCACACTTGAAGAAGAAAAAACACCTCAATTTTATTCAGTGGTCCAAACTGAGTTTACAAAATTGTGATTTGGTGCAGTTTGGTGCAAATGCTGATATTTATGCATGAGATATTTACAACAGTACAACACAATACATACATAAAAATCATATAAATATCAGTTTTGATTATATATCTCCCACTATGTCTTAATATGTGATATTTAAATGCTTAGTTTTATAATCAAAGCTCTGTAGCATTTATTGTGGGGGAAAAACATATAATCCAATGCATTACAACGATAATTGAGAGATGCACAAATATATGTTCCTCAAAAGCAATGTATCATATTTGATACTCACATTTAACATGATTTTTCGAATCAAGCAAACTGAAGTTGCTTAAAGGGTTAGTTCACCCAAAAATGTAAATTAGGCTGTGTTTTACTCACCCCAGAGGAATCCTAGGTGTATATGACTTTCTTCTTTCAGACGAATCCAGTCGAAGTTATATTAAAAATGATCCTGGCTATTCCAAGCTCTATCATTGATCATTGCAGGTGTTGCAGTGCTTCAGTCCAAAAAAAGGTAAATAAAAAGCGCCCATCCATTAAAAAAAAAAAAAAAGTGTCTCACACGGCTCCGGGGGGTGAACAAAGGCCTCCTGTAGCGAATCGATGCGTTTTTGTAAGAAAAATATCCATATTCAAAACGTAATAATCACTTGAATCTAGCTTGCGCTCACTGTTGTAAACGGAAGCAGTTCCGGGCAGATGACGTATGAGGTCAGCGTTGCGCATGAGCCGGTGAGTCTCGTGAAAACCAACGTTTGTTTACAGCAGTGTTTCTCAACCGTGGTCCTGGGCGCCCCCCAGCACTGCACATTTTGTGTCTCTCCCTAATCAAGCACACCTGATTCAACTCATTAGCTCATTAAAAAAGAAACTCCAGGACCTGAAATGGGTGTGTCAGATAAGGGAGACATACAAAATGTGCAGTTGTTGGGGGGCGCTCAGGACCAGGGTTGAGAAACACTGGTTTACAGGATCAAAAGAAGCAAAGTTTCCTTACTTTAGCAAAGGAAAACTAGTCTCCTCTTGGCTTATATCGAAATCCTCTGAACATTCTTCTTTACAAATCCTCGTTTTGTACTTATAATTAGTGACTGTTGTTTTATTTTGATCTCTCCCCTGCGTTTCCGCGTTCGTCACTTCTGAGCGGCGCATGCTTAAAGCCGACCTCATATGTCATCCGCCCGGAGCTGCTTCCGTTTACAACAGTGAGCGCAAGCTAGATTCAAGTGATTATTAAGTTTTGAATATGGATATTTTTCTTACAAAAACGCATCGATTCGCTACAGGAGGCCTTTGTTCACCCCCCGGAGCCGTGTGAGACACTTTTTTTATATGGATGGGCACTTTTTATTTCACTTCTTTTGGACTCAAGCACTGCAACACCCGCTGACTTCAATGATAGAGCTTGGAATAGCCAGGACAATTTTTTATATAACTCCAACTGGATTCGTCTGAAAGAAACTAACCCTTTTAAGCTCAGTAAGCGTTCATCTTGAAATATTAATAACATTATAAAAGTTATTCTTATGTTTAGTTTATCAGTAATTCAGTAAAGATTTCACAGCAAACGTGTTTTATTTTTATATTATACTTATTATACTAATTATACTAGAAGACCTTTTACTTGCTAATAGGTCTAAACTGTATATGACAGATTTTCAGCCAAGTTTGAATAATTTAGAGAAATTAGAAATCTGTGTATTAAATATGATACAGTAGGCTTTATAGGGTTAAAACATATCACATTCTTCCCAGATTTAGTTTTACAAGCTTAATTTTGTGAGCTGTCTGCAATCCATACACACCTCTCTGATGATGTTGAGTCGGGCTCTATCAAGTCCTGGAGGACTGGGTGGTTGGTTTTTCCTCTGTCTGCGTGTTAGAGCCTTTTCTTTTAATTCCCACTGCGCCACAACCCTATTCTGAGATCTGTGCATCTCATGATGTTGAGCCTGCGAGATCAATGTAGGGAGAAAAACTTCAGTAAATGCATAAGAATATACTTTCACAGTAAGCTCCTTACCAGTTCCTCTGGTGTGGCTTTATGCACTGAAAGATCGTGGACTGTGCTCTAAAAGAAAAGGAAAGGAAAACAGAGAAATTACAAGGCATCACTTCCAGAAAAGGATTTAACGTAACTGATTACATGATGATTTCTCACCACCCATTCTTTCTTGAGAGCAGACACCTTCCTGGTTCGCACTGGTCTTTTACCCGCACCATATAAAGGACGGTTCATCCGCAGTAAAGACATCTCACAGTAACAAACACAGGTGGCACCTATAGAAACAAACAATATACTGCTGGCCAAAACATGAAGTTTGCACTTGAACAGGAATAGTTTTCTGTATGTTTAGAACAGAGAACATTATGACAATCATTGTAAATGAACGTATCATTACGAATTATTAAACTTAACTAAATTAACCTTATATATACGTGCTAAAATTCAAACACATCCTTGGTAACTACTAGCTAATCGTGTTATGCACAATGACCGACACAAGCTGGGTTAGTACTGACAAAAATATATACTTATTTTACCTGAAACTGTCAGAAAAAAAAATGGACTAAGATTTTACCGTTTGTTTTTGTTGGTGCTGTAGTAACAGGATTAAGGAAGCGTTGATCAGGACAAATTTAAAAGCACCGCTACAATTCATTTCAAAATAAAAGTCCCCGTGTTCTGTGACTATAAAATAATCCTTTTGCTCAAAAATTAGAATATTCCGAAAGATGAGAATGTCTTAAAAGGCTATATATGCTAAATATAGATAAGCTAAATATTGTCTTTGTTAAATATAATTTTATTTTTATCACTTGTTTCACAAACAAAAGAAGACCAAGACCGTTTAATATCCACCAGAGTGCGCTGTCTACTTAAAAGTTACGTTGTTTCAGTGTAATACCAGATTGCACTACACTACTACATTTGTCTAGTAAATATTTTTTTTAAATGTTATTTTTCTGTCATTTCACTGTTGACAGTGGCCTATAAATATCTATAATATTTATATTTGTATTAACATGATGCTCTTTATATTACTTTACAGTTTGAATGTAACATGATGTTCGCTGTACATTATTTATTCTAGTATTATTTATATTAATGCATTAATAAAATGAAATTATTTTCCCCATCAGTTTGTTGTAGGATTGCAGCCTGCTCATATTATGCCTTTTTATATTTTATTTTACTATTGGAATGTAACATGTTCGTTGTACATTAATTTTATGTTAATATATTAATGAAATAAAACTAGGTTATTTTTCTGCTTGCTGTTGATAGTGGCCCATTATTCACACAAGCGATCTTTTAGTCCTAATTGCGGGCTCTAATGGATGTGAGCCACCGGTGAGCTAAATGCATTACAATACGGCGTTTCCGTCCCTTTTGTGCTCAGGGAGATCCCCACGGGCACCGCTAAACACCCATCGCACAGAAGCCGTTCCTGAAACGCCCAGGGGCCCCGTCAACATACAATGACACTTGTTTGCACTGTGCAACTGGCGGAGAAGCAAAAAGTCAACTAAGGCACGGAACTGCGCATGCGCCGCCTGACGGGTAGGCAGTTACCCCCTGGATGAAGGAGAATTTGTCAGTGGGTCACTCTCAGTCTATCAATGCCAAATCCTCACTATGCACTGGTCCTGCTTGAGATATTGACAGCTGACGAAATCAGTTGTTGCAGTTGAGTGCTCTTTTAAATATTAATGAGCCGGACCTCCCAAAACTTTTACTGAAAGTCGCATGATATGGATTAATGTGGAAAAACTTCTTTGACTGGTGAAAAAAAAAAAACGTGAGAACACATTGAGGAATCGAGCGTATGGATTACAAGTGAAGTCAGTAGTTGCTCCGTATCTCAAGGGAAGACATTTGAGAAGTGGCGACATGAAGAGTTGGTTTGATGCAAAGTTTGTCTGAAGTCCTGGAGGTTTCTCGCAGGAATATGGGATATTCTGAATTTATGGTTTATGAGTATAAAACCCCATCCCTTATGGCTTTTATGCGTTTTCATGTGTGTCCTCCTTACTTTCAGTCCGAAACGACGCTACTGGAAGTCTTGTGACGGCTGGGGGCAACAGTGGATACTTGTCTGGAGCAATTCTGCTGGATCTATTGAATTAACTTTGGAATTTCTCTGCCCAATGACATTTCCAAAGTCCTTAGTTGGTTCCTTTTTGCAGCGTCTCCTCGTTTTGTTCGTTTCATTTACCGAGTCATTAACTTAGGTCTAGACCAAAACCTGAGGTATTTTAGTCGCAGAGGTTTGTTGACAGTATGCGGGGATGCACGGGATTCCCGATGGCCGTCTCGGTGGTATCGACACTTTTGACCATCATTAACGTGAAGGCGAGTGGAGAATATTGTCACGGTTTTCATGACGCGCAGGGTGCATGGAGAGACGGCTTTCAGTGTCCGGAGCGCTTCGACAGCGCAGAGTCCATCATCTGCTGCGGCAAATGCGAGCTCAGATACTGCTGCTCCAGCACAGAAGCTCGCCTGGACCAGGGCGCATGTGATAACGATAAGCAGACACAAGACATCAACACTGGGAACAAGGACGAGAAAAATTCTGGGGCAGGTAAGCTGAAGTCTGCATTATTTTCTGGTAGAGTAACTTCCTCTGTCTGAAACAAATTAGTCAATTATACCGTGTAATCAAATTGTACACCAGCTACGTTTAAATGGTTTAATTCAATAAGTTTTACATCAGCAACAGCGTGTAACGTCTATCGACCCACTTAAATGTTTTGTGTCCCTCAGGCGTTCTGTGCGTAAAAGCCCCACTAAATGAGAAAGTTGGGTTGAGTTTCGTGTCCAAATTAGGTTACAAAAACGCTTAAGGTTAATGTTGTTTGGATGTTTATCTCCAATAATCAATCTAAACGAGAAGCGCTTATTTAGAACGGGCTCTAGCATTCCCGAACGAATGATTCTTATGAACAGGATCTTTTAGTGAATCTCTGAATCAATTGGAGCGGTTACTAAATTAATCGGACTCACTCACTGAGTCTCTCTATCAGTTACAGCTGATTTATTGAAATCTGAAATATGATCATTTGTCAGTAGACTGTTGAGAGCTGTAAATGCAGTGGGATATTTCTTCTTCCTTATTTATCTCCAAGAATCAATCTAAACGAGAAGCGCTTATTTAGAACGGGCTCTAGCATTCCCGAACGAATGATTATTATGAACAGGATCTTTTAGTGAATCTCTGAATCAATTGGAGCGGTTACTAAATTAATCGGACTCACTCGCTGAGTCTCTCTATCAGTTACAGCTGATTTATTGAAATCTGAAATATGATCATTTGTCAGTAGACTGTTGAGAGCTGTAAATGCAGTGGGATATTTCTTCTTCCTTAAAAGTACTAAAAGAATCATTAGCCGGAATCGTTATAAAGAATCGGAAACGGAATAGTTCAATTACTGACAATTCCCATCCCTAAATATAAGGGTTAAATGTCATTGCTTATCCAGGTTTTGACAGCTGCAGTTAAATTGGCATCCAACTTGGCACCTAACCGTCCACTCACTCACAAATGGTAAATTGTACTGCGCGCGGTTATAAATAGCTGCAGTTTGTGTTTGTAGCAGTAACGAACTCCAGTCGTCCGGTTCCCCACGAGGATCAAGTTCAGACTTGACTGACCGGATCTCCAGTGCGATGTGCTGATAACCTCGGTCATAAAATAACCCTCGCCGGTGCATAATTTCCTCTGACTTTGTGCAAGCTCAAAAACTTTTAATTCAACTGAAGTTCACAAATTTCCTCTCAGCTGAACCAAATTGGGGACACTGGGGCTAGTTGTCACTTTTTTACTCCAGTGAATGTTTCTCAGAGTAGGTTTATTTTTTTCAATTTCTATATAAACACATACTCTAACGTCTCGGATATTTCCACTGTTACTGACCCTAAAAAAGCAACAGTTGAACAAAATCACAGTATGGGGTAAGTTGTCACAACCTTGCTATTAAAGCACAATATAGACTTTTCGGCTAAATTTAAATAGTAAACGGCAAAATGTACTTGAACTTGAACGTATGAAATGACAACTTATAAACCTAATAAATCAAATATTCTCCCCCGAATTGATACAAGGGTAGATTTTATGAGTTCTAACAACTACCTATAACCTAAAAAACAAAAACAACAAAATTAATGTTTATTATTATTATTATTATTATTATTTTTAAGAAATAAAGAGCTTTTAGGCTCTTCTAATGATGCATATCTGAAAGGCAAGAGGAAATGGTAGTCTGCTACAGCATGTGGGCATGAAGTTTGACAGAGCCTGTCTGGCAGTTGAAGACTTGGCTCCACTTGGACAATAATGCAACAGGTGTGAATTCATGTCAAGGGGCCCCAAATCCTTTTAAGGACACGAGAAGGGCTTTGCTGTCATCCTGTAGCAGTGAACTTCAGATCACTAATAACATTCTTGATTTGACTATAACAATACAAATAAATCAGGTTTACATGTAGCCTACACAGTTTTTTCTTTTATCTTTTTTTTTTTGTAATTTTTTTAATATATGTTAAATTGAACGGATGCCATGGGATAAAAAAGGTAATTGTGACTTTTTATCTCACAGTTATGTTTTTCTCGCAATTCCCAGTTCACATTTCGCAATTCTGACTTTTTTCCTCAGAATTCTGACTTTACATCTCAGAATTCTGTTTTTTTTTTCCCGCTGTGGAATTAAAAATAAAAAAAGTAATGTCAACATTTGATCACACAATTCTGACTTTTTTGGACTTGCAAGAAAAAATATCTGAATTGTGAGATAAATGTTGCAATTATCCCGTGGTGGAAAAACATCCATAATTATCTAAAGGATACAAAGAGTAAAGAAATATATATTTTACATGTTTTAACAAAACTATTGTAAAATTCCTGGCTTGACTGAGTTGCCTTCCATTTCATTAGACACCTTTTGTTACCACTAACAGTTTGAATTATAACAAGAAGCATCTCTGAGGAACAATAAATCTTTAGAAATAATTTGTACAACAGATTCTCTATTGTTTTTCCACACACATTTGTGTGTAACTGTGAATAGGGTGTTTAAAAAAAAAAGGGGTGTTTCAACTGCCAAAAAAGCACTGATTTTCAAAACATGCACACAAACGTAAAGCTTGCCAAAATTCAGGTCATTTACTGAAAAATTCCACTGTTATAGTAATAACTACCAAAAGAGCTCCTGTAAAAATTACTCCCCTGCCATTTTTGCACAGCAATCATGTCTTTGATTCAATAACGTTATAATAAATTGTTAAACAATGGTTGCATTTTTTAGGTTATGGCTCTGTAAGTGAAATCTGTTTTGCTCCTATAATAAAATCAAAAGCCAGTTTGCATGGCTATTATAGATGATTTGATTCAACTCAATTATGAGGGTGAGAGATCCTGACCAGATGCAACAAAGTAAATGCTGAAAGCTTCCCCCAGGCGATCAGGGCCCGTATTCACAAAACATTTTATCTAACCACTAAGAGTTCTCCTAATTAGCAGTTAAAGTTTTTAGCTAAGAGTTTTCTCTTAAAACCTATTCACAAAGCTGCTGAGACAAGGGCGGGGTTGACCTTGTTGCTATGGATGATGTCAGCATGCTTACTAACTATGCCCACAGTGATTGGCTGATAGTCTCTTTCAGAGATTTATTCATAGAAATATTGTAGGGCACAATATTATGTTGCCGTATTCAAATAAAGGTTTAAAAAAAAAAAAGTTAATTGCCACATTCAAATAAAGATTTTAAAATGCAGGATAAGTGTCACTAATTAAACAAGTATATGTTCAGCTTATTGTCAGCCTGAGCCTCTTACATGTATGCTTCTCAAAAACAGTTAGCGGATATGCATATAAACAGCCTTTTAATTAACAGAGTAGAATAATCCTGGCTGAAAGTAATACATGCAAACATAAAAAATAAAAAATAAATAAAAAAACGGATGCAATAACAGCTGTTACTTCTTGCCCAACTGGTTAATGAAAACAAGGATATAATCAAAGGAAAATTAGGAGTTGGGGTAACCTCCAAAACCAAAGGTGATGCCTTTTTAAAAGGTCATTATCATCAAATGTTTCTAAAATGTTTATGTTCCAAGGCAGATTGCCAGCAACAGCCACTTTAGGATAGTTTGTGGCTTGGTCTTAGTGACTTAGGAGTCCTCTTCACTACTCCTATCGTTTCACAGATTTAGGAGCTAGTTTTAGTGCTAAAACACTTTGTGAAATACTCTTAGAGCAAAAATGTAGGAGTCCTAAATTTAGGACTGACACGGCCATTATTTTTAAGATTTTCTCCTAAATCGGCGAGTTATGATACTTTTAGCCTTAAGATGTTTTGTGAATACGGGCCCAGATGTCTAATTAAGCTATAAAGGTCACTCTTAATGCAGAATTATCTGTCGGAAAAAGCATGCACACGGTCAGGTAGTAAGGGCAGAAAGGTCAGCACTGGTTGCAGGAGATTAGAGAAGATCAAACCTGTCTTAATAAGTGTTAATGAGGGGCCCCAGACCCCTGGGGACGAGTCACTGGTGGAACATCCCGTCTTTCATTTTTGCTTCTCTCTCAGATCCCTTCATCTCACATGAGCCGGCAGGTTACCCATCTGTGAGCAGGATGGAAACATGCGAGCACTCTGTTCTCTGATTTACAGATACACACGCATGGCATATTGTGACACATCAACAAGGTTCAGCAATGCTTTAGGCTTCAAACTTGCTTATTGTTATTTTTAAAGGTGTAAAAGTTACATTGAGCTCAGTCACACTACTGATATTCTAGTCTTCCTCGTGGCAGTGGGGGTACAATTGCTTCGGATGCATACTGGAATTCGAAACGGATGTGTGCTTTCTGAGAAGGAAAAACATTGCTCAAGGGCTATATACAAACAAAACTCCCCAAAGTCCTCCCATGTCCAGCCAGCACTTTTCTCTATTTTTGACATTATGGAGGCCTGATACACATTATAACATTACATGTCCTTGTATCGGTGGCAATGAATACAGCTGGATGACCTAAATACATTATGAAGGTTGCATTACAAGCATCACATTTTAAAAACAAGGTATTAAACTGTACTTTATGAATGATACCTCAAATCTAGCAGCTTGCTTGTTGATGAGATTACTTTTCTAAGTGATCTGATTGTCACCTAGTGGATGATAAAACAGGCCAAAAAAAAAATCCCAAAGATTTACTCTGAAGCAGAAAGGCGATGCACATTTGAGTTCGTTCTTTAGATTTTGGCCAGTAAACTGCCACCAGTTACTTGATGTTAGTTAATGATGGCAAATGTAATAAAAAAAATAAAAACAGCAACAATAATTTAAAATCTATACAAGCTTTGTTTTATCAGATATCATCTGAATGTGCGCTAGTATTTCCTGTACACAACAACAAACACAGCACGAGCCGTAATGTCTGATTTGCAAACAAATAACTCTTATGAACAGGTTCTTTTTAATGATTCAGTCAGAAAGTTTCGCAAAACAGTTAAAAAAAAAGTTAAGAGTCAGCCACGCCTACCTAAAATGGCTCGTTCTAAAACGTCCCAAACAGGAGCCTTCATCAGGCGGCGGCTCAGGAGGAGGGTCCAGCAGCGGCCGCGTCCTCGAGACGATTCCCATGATGGCCAGCACAGGTACTTCACGAGGCTCGTCCTCCCGCCAATCGAGCACGGCCACTTCCTCCAGTTCTTCAGCTCCACCCGCCGCTTTCCGTCCTGCACCCGCCCCTCTGCTCCGCACCCAGGCCTCGTGCTGCCTTCCGCCGGATGCCAATGTCTACATGAACATGCCTACCAACTTCTCAGTGCTTAACTGCCAGCAAGCCACTCAAATTCTTCCTCACCAAGGCCAATTCCTACATCCTCAGTACATCGGTTTCGCCCACCCTATTACTCCGGCTCCTGTCTTCCTAGATCCCGCTCAAGCGGGCTACCGCCCATTGCAGTCTCCGTTCCCTCCGCCAACCAGCGTGGCTAGTGTGGCCAGTGTGACGGGGGATCAGAAATACCCTCCGGTTACCATGTGAATGCAGATGGGACCAGGATGCAAGTCTGAATTGAAATCACAAGACGAACACACAAAGAATCAGTTCAGGGCACAAAATTGAGGGTCATGGCTTGCAACCTTCACAAATGAGACTCCAACTGGTGCTTTATCAAACACAACATTGTTTTCTGTGATTTAAAGGACACAGTGCTTAAAAAATTACTGGATGTGTGTGTGTGTGTAACATGCCTTGAAAAGTGCTAACAGTGCCATTGTAAATTAAGCGCGTGTGTGTACATATGTGATGTATATTTGAGTTGTATAACCGTGCATGTGTGCTCTGTGCGTGACTGTATAGGTGTGTTGGTTTATGAGATGCAGTATGTGAAAATGTGTGTGTGTAGTGCACTATATATTGTGTGTAATGGGAATCACAGGTGCTGTAATGTGAAAAACAGTCCTAGCTCCCGGTTGGATGCTTAAAATCTAATGAAGTGAACACAGGACACAGACTGTGACGCTCCACCCTCCTGCCCACTGCAAAACATGCACATACAGTAGACACACACACACTAACACTTTCGCATATACACACTCACATTCTGCAGAACCAAAGTCATTTTCGCATTGCCAAGGAACTGAATAGAAAATATACAAAAATATAGGCCTGTGTTTGGGAAAGCAATGTGCGAAGATGTGTGTAGCTCAGATCAGCGGTCTTCAGAAAGCACCAGAGTCAATTACGCAGTAAAAACTGTCTGCCAACTGTTCCCCTTCACTAAGTCTCTGCCTTGTGAAAGGACTGTGTATGTGTGCCACTTTTCTTCCCCTCTGTTAGCATAAGGTAAACTCAAGGAGTACCAAAAGGGTTCCAGGGCATTTCATTTGGAGTGGGTTTCTTTCAGCACGCTCAAAGGCGGCAGTTTAGTGAGAAAAGAAAAGTCCCAGGCTCCTCCAGGAGAAGGCCATCACCTTTCTGAACTTCTAAAACTCCTGTATTAGATCTCAGACTGGCAGAAAAATCACAATGAAATTAAACACTGCCTGATTTAAAACCACCAGTCTGAGTTATTTGGCTTTTAGAGTTGGAAGATAAAAAGGTAGTTCACTCCAAAATGTTGTTTCTAACCTTTATGACTTTCTTTCTTCTGCGGAACACAAAAAAAATATCATTTTAAAAATGTCTGGTTTTTTTCATCCAATGCAAGTCAGTGTTGTTATTGTTAACTAAAACTAAACTACTAAAAATAATTTTTATCAATTGAAATACAGCTGAAATAAAATATACATATTACATGAAAAAATTAAAATGTTGAAACTAAAATGGAAAAAAATAAAATAATAAAATGAACTAAAATTATATATTAGATTAAAAACTTGAACTTAAAAATTGTAAATAAAAATAAGAAATGTTGCCTTGGCAACTAACTGAAATAAAACAAGTTACTTCAACTAAAACTGAAATAAAAGCTAAATAGAAATATTTAACTTAAGCTAATAAAATGGCAAAAGCACATAGCAAAACTGCTTAGTTAAACTAAAATTATATATTAGATGGAAAAAAAATTCTAACAAAAACAAAAAATGTTGCCTTGGCAAATAACTAAAGTTTAAGTTGAAATATACTAAAGTTAAACAAAAACTGAATTAAAAATAAATTTAAGCTAAATAAAAATATTAAAATAAGTAAAACATGGCAAAAGCACATAACACAATTGCTAAAACCTAAACTAAAATTAAAGCAACATTTAAAAATAAAACAATTCAAAATATGAATAAATAATATAATAGTATATAATATAATCCTAAAAATATAATACTAAAATAATAGAATAATAATAAAATAAGTTATAATAGTGTTGTTGTTTTGGACCCCACTGATTTTCATTGTATGGACAAAAACAGTTTTTTAGAATATCGTCTTTTGTGTTCCACTGAGAGTAAATGTTGACAGAATTTTCATTTTCTTTGTAAACTATCCCTTTAAAGTTTAAGGTAGAATGGTTTCTACCCCTATAGGAAAAGTAGCAATGTCTGTCCTGACAGGGAGCATGTCTGTTTTAGCCGTTTCTGTGGGCAATTTCACATGCACATCAGATCTATTTTTGTGTACGATATGTGTGTTTGTGAAACTGAATGAATATTTGAGTTTGAATGTGCCTCTCTCTGAGAGTAGGGTGCTATGTGTCTTTTACATATGAAACATATTAATTATAATAAATATTTTTAGAGACTGTGAAGTGTCACTGGGTTGTTTGTAAGAGATGCTGAGTACTGCTGTCAGCGGTATGTGTGGTGCTCTCAAATGAAGACATGCAGCTAATGGCTAAAATAAACCCGAGTGCTCCTGTTACACATAGCTTTTAAGTGCTCAGACTTTCATCACTCTCAACACTCATGACGAAACTGAGACCAAGGGCTGCATGCATAAATCTTTGCATAGTTTCCATGCTAAGTGTTTGCACTTACAGAAAGACATGTAGTCATAAAAATCTACGCACATGTTCATATTTCTATTAAATATAGTAGATACTGGAACCCATGCTGAATTAGGCTGTTGACGTCATGATTGAACAGCTATAAATTATATTTATATAATGGGTTGGTAAAATTTGGAAAGAAGTCACCTATATGCTCACAGAGGCTGTATTTATGTGATCCAAAAAACAAAACAAAACAGTAATATTGTGAAGTATTATCACAATTTTTTATAATTAATTATTTTATTATGTAATTTAATCCAGTGATAGCAAAGCTGAATTTTCAGCATCATCACTACAGTCTTCAGTGTCACATGATCCTTCAGAAATCATTCTAATTATACTGATTTAATGCCCACGAAAAGTCAAAAACAGTTGTGCTGCATAATATTTTTGTGGAAACTGTGATACATATTTTTATAATTCTTTGATGAACAGAAGATCGAAATAACTGTCAAAATAAGTCTTTTGTAACATTAGAAATGTCTTTACTGTCACTTGATCAATAATGAATCCTTGCTGAATAAAAGTATTAATTTCCTTCCAAAACATAAAAAATAAATAAATAAATCACAGTCTTACAGTCAAATTACTCTAAAAGATAAAAGTCATTTTGCTGGTCTCTCTGAGGGGGATGCTGATAATGATGAGTGACAGTAAGTTACAGTGCCTGTCAACATAATTTAAATGAATAAAAATTTTAATATTCTTCAAGTTGTTGACAGATGAAGTGCTGCCAGTTCAAAAGACATTTACAGGCTGTTAACAAGTGTAATAGAGAAATGTTAACAGGCTGAACATGACGTTCCACAGTGAAGGAAATCATCAATTTTGTGGAAATTGTTATTGTTAAAGGGGTGGTTCACTGTTTTTTTTTCTAGAATTGATTGTGTTTATGGGATGCAGTCTAACTTGTGTTAATGCTTCATTTAAAAAAAAAAAAAAAGCATTATTTTTCACATAATTTACCTTTATTCCATACTGCTCTGTCCCTTCTCTGAAAAACGTACTGATCATTTCTTTCTTTTATGAAGCCCCTCCCTCAGAAATAGGCGATGGGCTCTGATTGGTTAGCTAGCCCAGTGTGTTTTGATTGGCTAACAAAGGGAATGCCTCTAGTGCGCATCTAAGCATCCCGCCCCTCACCTCGGCGGCATGTGCTCCGGTTGTATTGTAAACAAAGGCGTCGTTAATATCGCTTAATCAATTAATCAATCAATTAATTAATAATCAGTTTGAGCCCAATTGAGAAGCAGAGGATATTATTGAAGAGGATCGTGCAGAACCTGTGCAAGCACGGCTTTTAATGGTAGGCCTGTTTTGTTTTTTTTTGTCTCATACTTTTAGATACGCTGTGATTTGTAAATGCTACTGCTTATGTTGGCTTTTAATATACAGTTTTATCCTGATTAAAGCTTTAATACAGTACGGCAACTGCACGCGCGTGCGTCCATGTTTAACGCTTCTTATAGCTATGTGAAAATAAGTGTGTAATTGGAACAGTTCATTGTTATAGCTGAGCTGAATGAGAGAGAGATGCAAAGCATGTGCAGAGCAGGGGGACGCGACGAACAGGATTGAGAACTGCTGCTTTAGAACATTGATTTTGAAACTTGTGAATCCATTAGAATCCTTAGAAGACAGAATCGCGATTCATATATGAATAGATTTTTACGTGCACCTCTAGTTTTCTCTTCCTCTTCTTTAAAGCAGCGCATCATGGCCTCGCCCCCTTTGCTGCCTTTTCCCGAGGGTGGGGTATATCTGGGTTTGTGATGTCACGAACCCAGGAAGTATCTTCTTGTAGTCCCTACCAGCCGTTTTTGTAGGCATTAAACTGCCAGAATTTTAAAAGACGATATCTCCGTTTGCATTGAACTTTCCGCTGCAACTTTGCACAGATATTGTTTGTTCAAACAGCAACATTACACACTAACGTTAAAAAAGAGAAATGGCAAACAACCACCCCTTTAGAATTACACATACTGCACAAAATATTACGTGACATTTTATTATAAATATACTTCCACTTATTTATGATTATTAAAACACTTGATTTAATCACCTCGAACAAAACTCAAACCTCAGAACTGACCGTATGTCATTGTGCATGATGAAAACTTAACAAGTGTCTTTCGTCATTTAATTTTCTGTATGCAAACATTTAAGGCCACAGGACAGTTGTGTTCAGTTAGTAATATTTGTTTTGCACATGCGCATATGAGACAGGATGACAATTTAAAGCTATATCTATATCACACTAACGTTAAAAAAGAGAAATCGCAAACAACCACCCCTTTAGAATTACACATACTGCACAAAGTATTACGTGACATTTTATTATAAATATACTTCCACTTATTTATGATTATTAAAACACTTGATTTAATCACCTCGAACAAAACTCAAACCTCAGAACTGACCGTATGTCATTGTGCATGATGAAAACTTAACAAGTGTCTTTCGTCATTTAATTTTCTGTATGCAAACATTTAAGGCCACAGGACAGTTGTGTTCAGTTAGTAATATTTGTTTTGCACATGCGCATATGAGACAGGATGACAATTTAAAGCTATATCTATATAAATATTATTTGAAAGTGCTAAAACACAAATAGCTTTTAGTTTAACTTGCTAGAATAAAAACTATTCAAACAAGAGTCTTTAAACACATTTAACAGCACGCGTCACTAGTCACACTTTCCATCCAGACAATAGCTGCAACTATAATATACAAACAAAACCCACAATAATTGCATTTAGTCAAGTCTGCCTGTGTTCTTGGCATGTATATATGGAAACTTTAGGGTCAGACTAACGTTTGGGGAGTCTTTGGACAGAGTTGAAATGGATCCACGTGGTGCTTGCTGAGGTGGAACAGGAATGGATTCCCCATATTGGAGGCAGTGGAGCTGGACAGAGCTGGCTCATATTCAGAGGCGTGGGTGTGGACTTCTTAGCAATGAGGGATCACGGGACTGATGGAGTTTACAAGGTCACACACCCTTACAGTTACATTAACACTTAAATTAACACGTATGGGATTATTCTAAATATCCATTTGCCATTCCTATAGTTAATTCAGAACATATCTATTTGAGCACATCTGTGTAGTTCACCCTTCACAGATTTTCTTTCACATACACACTTGTGCACTGATGCACAATGTGCTCTTTGGCAAACTGAATGATTTGGGGTTTAAATAAGGTAAGATCTACACATGCTGTAAATGTGTTAGTCCTCTCCGTTCTTTCCTGTCTTTAATCTAAAGATAACACTCCACCTCAGCTCATTTCCTAACCTGTAACTCTGACTCTCTGAAGTGCACTTCAAACAAACCCGGCCGGAGAAAGCACAAATCAAACTCCACTTATAAGCCCGCTGGTGAATGTTGGCTTTCACTTTTTAAGACAGCATATAAGTGAACCAAATCACACAAAGCTCATCTTTTAGCTCAGTAATTTTAAACGATCTTTCTTGCTGAGCCTGTGTGAGCCCTTTGACACTTTCTCACGTAGGCTGCTATTCAAAGTTTGGTAATCCCTTAAAAACCTGATGAATGTATGGTGTAAATTCGAATAGAATTAATTAAATTCTGACATCATTTACTCACCAGTATGAATCTGAAGCAATGAGTTAAAATCTAGTCAGGAGAAATGTTTTTTTTGTC